CTTACCACCTTACCACCTTACCACCTTACCACCTGACCACCTGACCACCTGACCACCTGACCACCTGACCACCTGACCACCTGACCACCTGACCACCTTACCACCTTACCACCTTACCACCTTACCACCTTACAACCTTACCACCTTACCACTTTACCACCGTACCACCGTACCACCTTACCACCTTACCACCTGACCACCTGACCACCTGACCACCTTACCACCTGTCTCGTTCCACGCCAGGTGAGTGACCACAGAGGTCCCTTCTGGGAGCAGGAGCAGGAGCAGGAGGATGAGGAGGAGGAAGAGGAGGAGGAAGAGGAGGAGGTGGAGCAGCAGGAGGAGGAGGAGGAGGAGGAAAAGGAGGAGGAGGAGGAGGAGGAGGAGGAGAAGGAGGAGGAGGAGGAGGAGGAGGACGACGACGAACAGGAGGAGGAAAAGAAGGAGGAGGAAGAGGAAAAGGAGAACGAGGAGGAGGAGGAGGCGGAGGAGGAGGAGGAGGAGGCGGAGGAGAAGGAGGAGGAGAAGGAAAAGGAGGAGGAGAAGGAGGAGGCAGAGGAGCGGCAGGAGCAGGAGGAGGAGGAGGAGGAGCAGGAGGAGGAGGAGAAGGAGGAGGAGGGAGATGAGTTAGAGTGGCCGCTGTTTCAGACAGCTGGCCACCCCTGAGGGAGTCGCCCCCTTTGTGGGACGGCGGAGGTGTCTGCCGGCTCCCTACCAAAGGGCGCCAGGCCGCCAGAAAGAAGAGTTAGAGTTGAAGGAGGAAGGGCGAAGGAGGAAGGTTTACCTTCGTCTCCTGAGGAAGGAACAGGAGGTGGGGAGGGAGGAAGGAGTAGGGAGGAGGTGGGGAGGGAGGAAGGAGGAAGGAGGAAGTATGGGGAAGGGCAGGGGGAGGGAGGAAGGAGTAGGGAGGAGGGATGTGGGGAAGGTGGTGATGAGGATGAGGATGAGGATGAGGATGAGGATGAGGATGAGTATGCGGATGACGATGATGATGATGATGATGATGATGATGATGATGATGATGGTGATGATGATGGTGATGGTGATGGTGATGGTGATGATGGTGGTGGTGATGGTAATGGTTATAGTGATGGTCATGGTGATGGTCATGGTGATGGTGATGGTGATGGTGATGATGGGTGGTGGAGGTGCTGCTGCTGCTGGTGCTCGTGCTGGTGCTGGTGCTGGTGCTGATAATGATGATGACGATGATGATGGTGATGATGATGATGATGATGATGATGGTGATGGTGATGGTGTGGTGATGGTGATGGTGATGATGATGGTGATGGTGATGGTGATGGTGATGATGATGATGATGATGGTGATGGTGATGGTGATGGTGGTGGTGATGGTGATGATGGTGTTGTTGATGGTGATGGTGGTGCCGATGATTCTGGCGATGGTGATGATGGTGACGGTGGTGATGATGGTGGTGATGATAGTGTTGATGATGGTGATGCTGAGTATGGTGTTGATGATGATGCTGATGCTGATGCTGAGTATGATGATGGTGATGGTGCTAATGATGATGGTGATGATGGTGACGATGGTGACGATGATGATGATGATGATGGTGGTGATGATGATGATGATGATGCTAATGATGCCAATGATGCTGATGTTGATGCTGGCGTTGATGATGATGGCGATGATGACGATGAAGATGCTGATGCTGAATATGATGATGATGATGATGATGATGATGATGATGATGATGATGATGATGATGATGATGATGATGATGGTCGTGGTGATGGTCATGGTGATGGTAGTGGTGTTGGTGATAATGATGGTGGTGGTGGTGGTTGTGGGGCTGTTGGTGACGATGATTATGATGATGATGACGACGACGATGATGCTGATGATGATGATGATGGTGTTAATGGTGATGATGATGTTGCTGCTGGTGCTGGTGCTGGTGCTGGTGATGGTGCTGATGCTGATGCTGATGCTGATGAGGAGAAGGAGGAGGATGAGAAGGAGGCGGAGGAGGCGGAGGAGGAGGAGGAAGGCGATGAGGGGTAGGAGGAGGAGGAGGAGGAGGAGGAGGAGAGAACAAGAAGGGATGGGGCAGGGGAGGGGTAGCAGGGATGTGGCCGCAGAGCGGGCACCTCAGACCAAGGAAGCCAGCCTGCCAGCAGGCCCCCCAGCGCACACCTTGTCCCCCTGGTGACCCCCTGGGGGCCGCAAGCGTTGAGACCTTTTTTTGTTGCAAGGATCGCTGCCAAACGTGGCCCCTGAAATGCTACAGTCAGGAACGTTTGCTCAGCATTCGGCGCACGACACGCTAACCACGCCCTGGTCCCCGAGCCTCAACGTCTCGAGCTTTCCCCATTCCCCCGCCCCACGAAACGGAGCGACACGTTGTCAGCTCGCAGGGCATAGCGTGTCGCAGGGGCCGCCGCCGTGACACGCTAAGCAAAAGTTCCCGACCGCCTGGTATGACGTCTTGTCGCACGGTGGGCGTGTGTCGTGTCGACGAAGCGTCGACCCCAACGCGGGCGCTCAAGGCTGACAAGCGCCGCCAACGGCCCGGAACCGACCATAATCGAACGATCTTGTGCCGCCGACAGGCCGCGATGGAGGGTTTCTCCGAATGGCTTAGGCGACACGCCCTCCCCCTCCTCCTCCTCCTCCTCCTCCTCCTCCTCCTCCTCCTCCTCCTCCTCCTCTTCCTCCTCCTCCTCCTCTCCTCCTCCTCCTCTCCTCCCCTCCTCCCTCCTCCTCCCTTCCTCCTCCTCCTCCCCTCCCTCCTCCCCTCCTCCTCCTTCCCCCCTCCCTCCTCCTCCTTCTCCTCCTCCTCCTCCTCCTCCTCCTCCTCCTCCTCCTCCTCCTCCTCCTCCTCCTCGGGTCTCCTACGGCCCAGGGGGGGACCGTGCAGGCCGCGATCGCTCAAGGCTGAACGACCCAAGCGGTGCTGGAGACCACCCTGCAGGCCGCCACGGCACGACGCCGCCGTGCGCTCTCGTCTGTGGGGAGGAGTGGCGCCAGGCCCAGTCGCGCGCAACCTGCAACAGCACCATCGCCTGGGCGAGAAGTACGGTCAGGAACTCTGAAGGAGCACAAGGGAGGAGGGGGGAGAGGTCGGGGAGGACCAGGAGACCAGGGAGGAGGAGGAGGAGGAGAAGCAGGAGGAGGAGGGCGGGGAGGAGGAGGAGGAGGAGGAGGAGGAGGAGCAGCAGGAGGAGGGAGGGAGGGAGGTACCCCATCCCCGCCCGCCTCTTGCTCAGCGTGTCCTCGTCTACCCGCGGACTTGTTTGGTGCTGCGTTTGCTCATAGCTCAGCACAGCTGCACGCCTCAGCACGTGAGTGGGAGTTTGGGCTGCACAGGGGGCATGCAGACGGGCTGGCTACGAGTCATCGTGACGTCGCCCATTCTGACCATCCGCAGGAGTACGCCACCGTTAAAGAGTTCGACGCGGACGCTGCAAGGCACCACGTCACCCCGATCACGGCTCCCGGCAACGGCGACACGAGTTACCGCCGAATCAAGGGACCGACAGACATCCCACTCTCCTTCCTCGTCCTCTCCCTTACCCTTCTCCTCACCCATCCTCATCCAGATTCCTCCTTCGCCCCCTCCTTTTCGCATCCCTCCCCTTCCCCTTCTCGTCCTTGTTCCTCTCCTCATCCATCCTCCTCCTCCTAATCCTCCTACTCGCTACCTCCCCCTCATCATCCAATATTTGTCTTTGTAGGTATGGCCCCTTCGTCTCAACGCCAGACGAGTCGGCAGGGCAGGCCGGGCATTTCGCCTGAAACTGCCGCACAATCCACGACACTGAAGCTTGACAGGCTCAGCATTTCGACGCACGGAGGACGAGTTTTTCGGAGTGTGACGTTTTCGCTCCAGCCCCGCGCAGACTCGGTTTTACAACCTTTCAGCCGGTTCAAGGAATGAAAGCAATTATTTGTCAACATGTGGTTGTTGCCTTGGCGTTAAGTCGGGCCTGTCCCACTACAGGAGGAGTATGCAAAAAGAGTCAAAAATAGTCTGGAGACGATGTTTTGACCATTTCTGAATTTCGTGGGAGCACCCCCTGCAGGGGGACATGCCCGACCTAAGCTTAGCGCCGCGCGCACTCGCTATCAGATCTCACAGCAGCCACTCGGGCAAAGGGCGAATTGTTATCACAACGTGGGTCGCCCTCCAGGAGGCCGAGAGCAACCTCGGGGAACAGCGGATAAAGCCAAGCAAACGACTTGACGAAGAACTTATGATTAAGTCGGGCCTGTCCCTCTACAGGAGGAATATTCAAGAATAGTTAAAACATACTCTGGAGACGATGTTTTGATTTTGTTTGGCAATTGTTGAGCATGTTTGGGTATGTTTTATTTTCCGTCCAAAACCCGCCTGTAGGGGGACACGCCCGACCTAAAGGTGATGAAGCCAAACAAACCACTTGACGAAGAACTTATGATATGGAAAACAGGCCAAGCCAGTGCACGGCCCCGTCCGTCGCCTCGAGGGGTCGAGACGCGCGAATGACGGGCTTACCCTTCGCGCTCTCAGGGTGGACCCCCCCGACGCGCAGCCCTGGAGGAGGCGGAAGTGTGGACGCTGGGCGCCGCCTCTCCAGAACGCGGACCCGACAGAACAGAATGGCTGGGAAAACCCAGCGGGAGGATCCCCAGCAGGGGCCGAATAAAAAGGCACGAAACGGTTCGTCGTGACTCCTCGGGGGCGGCCCACAGAGGGGGTCTTGATGACTGGGAGGGGGGGGGATCCTGCTCCTCCTCCTCCTCCTCCTCCTCCTCCTCCTACTCCTCCTCCTCCTCTTCCTCTTCCTCCTCCTCCTCCTCCCCCTCCCCACCCCGTGCCCCGGTCACACGGATGGCTGGGAAAGCCCAACGCCACAGGATGGTTGGGATAACCCAAGCTTGCCCCTACTTTCCCGCCAGTGAGCTGATTATCTCGGGCGAAGACAGTCTTGGTCGGCGTTTGGTCGCGGGGGGACCGAGCTTCACGATCACCAGGGGAAGTACCAATCGTAGATAGGATCTTCCCATCATGGTTATCAGTATCAACATCACCAGCAGCAGCAGCACCTGCATCATCATCAGCAGCAGCAGCAGCACCAGCATCAGCACCAGCATCAGCATCAGCGTCAGCGTCATCATCAGCACCAGTATCATCATCTCCATCATCATCGTCATCATCAGCATCTCCATCATCATCGTCATCATCATCGTTATCAGCATCATCATAATCAGCATCATCATCATCAGCAGCATCATCATTATCATTATCAGCATCATCAACATCATCAGCATTACCATTGCATCATCAGCAGCATCACCATCATCGTCATCATCACCGCCATCGTCATCATCATCATCATCATCATCATCATCATTAGTAGCATCAGCATCGTTAGCGTCATCAACATCATCAGCATCACCATCATCGCCATCATCGACATCACCAACATCATCAGCATCACCATCATCGTCATCATCATCACCACCATTATCATCGTCATCATCGACATCACCAACATTATCAGCATCACCATCATCGTCATCATCATCACCACCATCGTCATCATCATCATCATCGTCATCATCACCACGACCGTTATCATCATCACCATCAGCATCATCACCATCAGCATCAGTATCCTTGCCACCATCCTCATCATCAATGTTCCCATGATCCTCAGTATCCTCACTGTCATCACCGTCTTAGTCATCAGGCGGCGGGCTGGTGCTCCACGCGTGGATCTCGTCGGAGTGCTGCGGGGCGCCCCCCCGCCGCCGAGAGGACTGCTGCGGCAGCGCGGCCGCCTCTTCGGGTGGCAGCTCGCGGCCTTCCGGTGGCACGCGCCGGGCCGCCGCCCGAAGGCGAGGGGGCTGCAGGGGCAACTCCACATCTCCGAAGATCTCTGCGGAGAGCACTGCATGTCTTCAGGTGCGCAGATGATCTATGTCTTCGAAAAGGCTCCCGGGCGAAGACGTGTAGTGCCCGCCCCCTGGGCTATTCGCCCCTATCGTCGCCGCCGAAGATATGTCGCCGCACCGTTTTTTCCGGTGCGCGGCCTGCCGCGTGTTGGGAGGGCGCCCCGGCCACCGGGGCAGACTCCGCCTCGTACGCAGGGTTTGCCGTGGATTTGCCGTGGTGTCGGCGTCGTCGTCGTCGTCGTCGTTGCTGTCGTCGTCGTCGAGAGCAAACGGCGCGGCGACATATAGGTGTTGTTGTCCACCGGGCGGCTGTTCCTCGACCTCGGCCTTTCTTCAGATCCTGGCGCTGCAGTCTTTTCGCGCCGGGCGTGTTCGCTCGCAGATCGATCCGGCTCGGAAAGATGCTGCAGGAGGGTGGGGTCTAGGGTTCGGGGGCAACGACAGGGAGAGATAGCCACAGGGGGGGATGCGTCGACCCCCAAGCGCCCATTGATCGCCGATGGGGGCCCGAGAGCCCCGACTTGCACAGCAGGGTGCGGATTTACTCTCGGGGGGCCTATCGCCGATCTGTCGGCGACGTATCGCCGATTCCAGGTCGATATGCATCCCCCCCTATGCCAGTCCCCCCCTACCGTTGCCCCGCAAGGGTTCGGGTCGCGACTTTCTGCCCTGTCGTAGCTTTTGGGCCACGTCGGGTCTCGGGGGTCGGAGGCCGTTTTCGGGCCCCGGGGCCCAAAAAAACATGGAGAAGCGGTGGGAACCTCTGGGGCCGCGGATTGAAAGATCGACGGATGTCAGGGACGGTGGGCCAGAATCGAGGTTCGGGACTCTCGGACGTTCTCGTCGATTCTCGGCGGTCTTCCAGCCGAGGGGGGCCTTCCAGCAGTTGCGCCTCGCCGAGAGCGTTCCAGGGCTGCCCAGATCGTCTCGAGCGGCAGGCGGAGAGCCGTTCGATAGTTCGGACACCAGGGAGCACCGACAGGGGGGATGTGCTCAGCGGGGAGATGCTCAGCGGGGAATCCCTGGCCCCTCCGATCCTCGGCCCCTCCGATCCCCGACCCCTGCGGTCCTCGGACCCCCTCGATCTCGTCGGACCCTTCTGTGATCCTCGACCCCCCCATCCCCACGATCCTCGACCCTTTCGTTCCTCGACGCCTCCGATCTCCGATCCGCGCCCCCCTCGGTCCTGCGATCGCCCACTCATCGCCCATAGGGGTCCGACAGCCCGGCCCGCCCACATCCCTCCTCGAAATCAAACTCAAGTTTTTCCCGCGACGTGGCGGCGCCCCAGGACCCCAAAATTGCTCAAGGTTCGCGCCGAAATTGGCAGCTGCAAACACAAAAATCTGACCCCGCAGACGGCGTTTCGCGAGCCGATCAGTATTTAAAACGTGTGCGTTTGATTTCGAGGAGGGTGGTAGGAACGCGCGGGCTTGCAATGGAGAGCACATCGCCGATCTATCGGCGGTTATCACCGAGTCAAGCCTTGTGTCACCCCCACCGCTCTGCACCAGTCCCCCCCGAACGTACCCCTTCAAAGGGGGTGTCACCATGAAGGAAGCGCCTTTTCACATTTGGCGACCTTCGGGTGGCACTCGCCAGGCGTCGTATCTTTGTTTTCGCACCCGGCGGTGTCGCTCGGTTTCGGGGCCCAGGGCCTTCGTAGATCGATACGGCTCGAGAAATGCCTCCAAATGTTGGGGTCTAGGGTCGGATCTCGCGAAGGGGATCTTGAGGGGAAGGTGTCCTGGAGGCTGTCGGCCATGTTTAGCCTCCCTGGGCCGTCCAAAAATTATTCGCAAAGCAGAATTGGTCCCAGGAACGCCGCGGGCTGCTAAGGTGCACGGGGTCACAAGTAGGCGCCCAGGCGGGTTATTCCCAAACAGTGATTGCATTCAGGGGCTCTTACTCCTCCTCTAAGGAACTGGGCCTGTCTGTCAGTCTGGCGGCTATGTTGCCGCCGTTGCCGCCCCGTCGCCGCCTCGTCGCCGCCCGTCGTCTAGGCCTGCCTGTATAGGACTCGGTTCCCTCAGGACGCCGCTCCGTCAAGGCGAGTAACGGATCCCACCGAAAAGGGGCAGTTCCCTTTCTTTCTTGTCCCATGTCCATTCCCAAACTGCACGAACAGCCCTTACAGCCACGACTGAACAAAAGAAACCTGCTGGTCCGCAGTGGCCACAGATACCCCGCCATTCCCACAGGGAAAAACTGGTGACACCCGCTGGCACGACTGATGTTTACCACTCCCACGCAAGGGCATCGTCCGTGCCATAACGTAGCAACTTGGAGTTGCGACGTCAACATGGACCGTGTCACCAAACCACCTTTTCAAAACGGTCATTTCTCGCTCTCTCTCTCTCTCTCTCTCTTTCTCTCCCTCTCTCTTTCTCTCTCTCTCTCTCTCTCTCTCTCGCTCGTTCTCTCTCTCTCTTTCTCTCTCTCTCTCTCTCTCTCTCTCTCTCTTTCTCTCTTTTTTTTTTTTCTCTCTCTCTCTCTCTCTCTTTCTCTCTCTCTCTCTCTGTCTCTCTGTCTCTGTCTCTGCACGAACTAGTATACAAGGGGCACGAGCGTGTCCAGGCAAATACAAACGCTTGTACAGGATGTGTGTGTGGTGTATAAAGTGTCGATTTTTTCCAAACAGCTGTGCACGCCCTAAACGCAAACCGCCTGCAGATGGAATGGGCCCGTCCGTGATCCGTTCCATCGCCGTCATTGCTCAAGTTTTTCGGGCGGCACCGCCATCCCAGCCTGTATGGGTATCCTCGGTCTCGTGAGTAAAGCCGCGCGGGGCGGCCTTGCCATACTTGACACTCTTGGGTCGAGCCTCGGGTCTCTGGCGGGGGAATCGTCCAACTGTGCGCTCGCTGTGGGTTCTCTTGGAAGCATCCGAGCGCTGGTGATTCTGAGATTGGTCACCGGCTTCTTGATCGGGGTTGGCCTGACGCTCTGCTGTTGCCTCTCCGGCCATGTCCTATCTTCGGCCTGGGCGGCGCGTGCGCATCCAGTGGGAGAGGCGTGGCACCTGGCAGGATCGGATCTTGCTGTGCGAGTGCCAGAGTTCAGAGTGCGAAGCCGAGCTAGAGTTGACCGCCAGCAAGGAGGAGATCCTTGGCCGCCGCGCGTGGTATGCTCTCACCCCGGACCTGGACGTGTACCCCCACATCCCGTCGGAGACGCAGCTCGTCGGCTTCGCGGCTCTGACGAACGACGGGTCGCCGATCTCGGAGTCGGGGTTTGGGAAACGGTGGATGGCAGCGAGTGCGCCGACTGGGAGCCGACCGCGCTCGAGGTCTGCGAGGCGTTGGAGGCGGTGAGGCCAGGGTTTCTGTCGCCGCAGGGCGACGAGAAGCCGTCCAGGCGCTTGAGGGGGAAGGTATCTTCGAAGTCGACTCCAGCGGCAGTAGCGGCAACTAGCGTGGCGGAGGAGCTCTACCCAGGTTTGCTGGCGGGGACTGGTGCACTGCCCGACGTCGGCGGACTCAGCTGGCATGCCCTGTCGGCGGAGGACGCCACCCAGTTTCGCTAGGCGGTGAGACCTAGAGACTTCGACGGCTACCTGATTGCGGACGAAGTCGGCATCGCGACCAAGGAGACCGAGTGTCTGCTGGTCAAGGCCGTGGACCCCTCAGCCCCAGGCCCCGAGCTCGAATCGGACGCGCGGGTGCTGGACATCAAGACACGGCCCGACGGCAGTCGCCATCGACATTTCACGGAGGCCGCGCGCCAGGTCACCACCACGGAGTGGCCCGAGTGGCCAATCCTGGGTCCACGGACGGCGCCTTGGTGCCTGGAGTTTCTGGCGCGCCAGGACCAGCACCCACGTGCGCGGCAGACCAAGTGGGTGCATGAGTGCCGGCTGGAGGCCACGGACGAGGGCGTTGGGGACCACGACCTCGCGATGCGGATGGCGGAGCTGGGCCTCAGCTTCGACCAGCTGAACCTCGGGGAGCTGGCCTCGTTCGAGCTCTCGATGAGGAAGGCCCAGATGGCCGAGTGGCGCCATCGTGACCGGCTCGCGGCTGTCGAGGGTGACGATCTGATGGAGGAGAGCTACCTCTATCTCGGCACGGGAGAGACGCGCGGTTTGGCGATGGCGGCGCCGGCTCTAGTCGACCACATCAATCAGGAGATGCATCGCGGGGCGCAGATCCTCAAGGAGCGCCGTAAGGCCAAGGAGGAGAGGTTGCTCTCGCGTGGCGGAGGCGGTGGAGGCAGCGCAGGATCTGGGGGGTCAAAGGCGGAGCTGCACAAGAAGATCCAGCAACAGGCTGCCGATTTGAAGAAGCTCCAGGACAAAGGTGCAGGGAAGGACCAGGCGGCCGGCCGCGGGGCCGGCCGGGGCCAATGACGCGGCCACCTGGGCTCGCGCCCCGCGAGCTGCTGCCCCCGAGCGGCTTCGCGGCGGCGCGAGGTGCTGGCGGCCCCGCTGGGCTGTCGAGATCGGTGCGCTCGAGAGCGCGCCGCCGCCTGCACGTCGCGAACTGGATCGCCGACGCGGCCGAGAGCTTCAACGCCTTGCACGGTCACGGCGGCGCCCGAGATCATTTTTCCGCTTCAGCCGGGAAGCAACGCAGCTTGGAATTCACGCAATCTATCATCGAGCAGGCAGGCCCGCCTCCTTGCTCACCCGCGGCAGCCCACGCGGAGCTGCGCGGTCACCAGCCGGGCTACGACACCGAGCCCGAGCTTCCAGCCCAGTACCAGAGGGAGATTCCCCCCCTGCCAGGGCCAGGCGCGCGCTGCGATCCCAGCGACGTCTTGCGCGGCCTCGAGCACGATCAGCGGGCACATTGGGAGAGACATTTGTTGCGCTGAACGCCTGCACCAGACTACGACATCAAGCTGCACAACGATCGCAACCTCATGGCGGACAGGCGGTACTATGCACAGTTCATCCTGGACCTGTATGCCTCCGGCCTCATCAGAGACGGGGCTAAGCGCAGTGCCACGGCGGACGGCAGCGCCTCCGGCTCATCTTCGACACGCGTCGAGTTAATGCACGTTTTCACGATCCCGATCATTCTCAGTTGCCCAGTGCAGCTGCTTGGGCCGCGCTGCGCACAGAGCCGATTTCTTCTCTGATCATGGCCCAGGCTGACGTGGACAATGCTTTCTACCGAGCGAAGCTCCCTGACAAGATGGACGAACATTTCTCGTTTGCACGGTGTGCATCTGGGTGCACTCCGACAGCTGGCTGATGAGGCGGGGATCTACATGGACCTGCCCGAGGCTCGCTTCGGCTCGCCACTCCTGCAGGTGCTGCCGATGGTGGTCGTGGGGCCTCTACTTCTGTCAGAGGCTGCTGGAGACCACCGTGCTGCGGTCAGGGATTGGCACCGTTTCGCTGATCAAGGATCGGCATGCTCCTCTCCAGGTGCGCACCAGCTCGACTCAACCTGGCGTGTACGTCGACAACGTGTGCATCGTCGGCGGCGACGGCGACCGATGCGTGGCCGACTGGCGCTGTCGTGGGCAAGCTGGAGGATGTCGGCCTGAAGTGCAAGGGCGTGATGGAGCCGGAGGACCTTCAGACCTTCACGGGCATCACCTTCGAGAGGCGGAGTGGCCGCGTCGGGGCCAGTGCGGCCCAGACATGGAGAGGTCGCCTCGCGCTGCTGTTCGTGGCAGACCGCCGCTCAGCCACTGGGGACGAGATCTTCAGCTTGCTCGGGCACTTCACTTGGGCCGCCTTGCTGAGGCGGACTCTCCTTTGTATGTTTCAACAAGCCTACGTTTTCGCCCGGGTTGCTGGGCGCCGCCGGCTGCGGCCGTGGAGCCGCGTGGAGCTCGAGCTGCGGCGGGCGGCTGCGCTGCTGGTTTTCGCCTTCTCCGACTCGAAGAAGCCCAACAGCACCTTCGCCTACGCCTCTGACGCCTCCAGGGGACAAGCTGGCTCGGGAGGCGGCTACGGCGCGGTGGGCCAGACATGGGCCAACGAGCTCGTGGAGCACACCGCGGCGTCAGCCGAGTCTTGGCGATATTCAGTGCTGGACGCCATCGGGGCCAGGGAGTGCGCGCTGGGGTTCGACCCGGCCGAGGGGACCAAGGTCGGCCGGCACCCGGCGCGCGCTGGCTCCACCAGCTTCGAGGGCGTCGGACGGGCCGCGATCGGAGACTTCAGCGACTGGGGGGTCCTTTTCCATGGCGAGTTCCAGCGCGATGAGGACATCACAGTCCTGGAGGGCCGAGCGGCGGCGATGGCCGCGCGACACGCTGTGCGAGGGCGCAGTGGGCACGGCCATCGGCATCTCATTCTAGTCGACAACCTCGGGCTTGCCCTCGCGGTTCTCGCGGTTGGGAAAGGGCGATCTCCCTCCATCACTCTCAATCACGTCTTGCAGCAGCTGTGCGCCATGCCCATTGTCACCGACATTACCTTCATTCTCAGATGGACCCCTTTAGAGTGGAACCCCGCTGACAAGCCCTCTAGGCTCAGGCTTCATCGCACGCGGGACGCCCGCGCTGATCCCCGGCATGCTGCGTATCTCGGAGGTGCGGACGGCCCCAGCGGCCACCAAGCCCTGCGGCGGGACGTCCACGCGCTCGCGCGGAGGCGCCACTGCCGCGGCGGCCCGACCTCGGAACCGCAGTCCGCCGGCCCCAGCAGCCCTGGCGCGGCCGGGCTCGGGGGCGCGCTCCACGACGACCCCTGCCCGCTCGGTGGGCTCGCGGGCCTCTTCAGCGGGCCGGGCGGTGGCGGAGCGACGGGCAGTCCGAGGCCGCCACCAGCGAGGGCCGCGAGCGAGCCCGGGCCGAGGGGCTCACGGTCCTGCAGAGCCTGAAGGTCGGCAGCGCATGGCGGGTCTACTTCCAGAAGGAGTACCTGGACTTCGTGAGTTGGACCCGTTCGAGGGGGCTGTCGACGCTCGGGGTGCAAGCGATCGACTCATGCTTCGCCCAGTACCTCGATTTCCTCCTCTGGGAGGGCCACAACCACCACAAGGGGGGCAAGGCCCTCGCGGCGCTGAAGCACTACAACCCAGGGTTGGGGCTGAGTTCGGCGGCGGCGTTGGAGCGGACCACTGCCGGGCTTCGGGGCTTTCGCAAGCTCGCGAGGGGCTCGACCTGGGCCCCCATGGCGAGGGAGCTGCTGTTCGCGGCCGTGGGCCTCGCTCTGCACCGAGGTTGGCGCAGCTTCGCCATCGCCCTGGCCCTCAGCTGGGACACGATGATTCGGCTGCCGAGCGAGCTCGTAGCGATGACGCGCGCGACCTTGGTCGCGCCCGCGCCTCGATCAGGCCGCGCTGCGTGGAGCCTCCTGCTGTTCCCAGAGGAGCTCAACAAGGTCAGCAAGACCCTGGGCTGCGGCGAGGGCGTCGTCTTGTCGGACGAGGTGTCCACCGCGCTCGGGCCCGAGCTGGCCATGCTGGTGCGTGCGCGCACGGACCGCCAGCCGCTCTGGGACTTCGACACGACGGCCTTCAACTCCAAGTTCAGGACGGTGTTCGACCAACTGGGCCACCAGGATTGCCACCTGCACCAAGTGCGCCACGGCGGAGCCTCGTTTCGCGCGGCGGTGATGGGCGAGAAGCTGGCGGACATCCAGGCCATGCTGAGGCACCAGTCGGACAACTCGACGAAGAGGCACGCCCGGCACGTCAGGTACTTCGCGGAGGTAGGCAAGCTGAGCCCCGAGGTCACTCAGTTCGGGCGGGAGGTAGACGCCAACCTGACCGACCTGCTGCGGGGCCGGGCGCCGCTGCCGCCGCCGCCGCGGGCTCGCGCGCCGCCCTTCGCTCTGGGCGGTGCTGGCGCGGCGGCGACACCGGCGGCGCGGCCGAGGCCATGACGGACGCTGCGGTGCGGCGGCACTGGCGTGCCGCGCTGCGGGAGGCCCTCGCTGACCTCTTCAGTGGCACTGGCAAGGTCGCGAGCTGGCTGGAGCGGAAGTCGGGCTACGCGGTCCTGCGGATCGACGTGGCCGCCCACCCCGCTGTCGACCTCTCGCGGCGCGTGCGCGGCGCCATTGTGATAGGCTGGCTGAGGGCCCGCGTCGTGCGAGGCGTGATGTGTGCACCGCCTTGCAGCACTTGGTCTCAGGCCTCTCGTTATCTTTATCGCTCGCCTCATGCTTTGAACGACCTGCCAGGCCTACAAAACAAAGCTGCTGCTAGGCTTCGCATAGGCAGTGCCACATTCCCATTTCGCCATGAGAACGGGCCTCGGATGCAAACGCCTCGGGATTCCTCTCGTGCTCGAGAACCCGCGATCGTCTATGATGTGGTTGCATCCTCGCATACTGCTCCTCTCTCGCTCCTCTTGTAAAGACGCCAATGTAGATTTCTGTCAGCACGCTACCAGATGGAGAAAAGCTACCCGCTTCCGCGGATGGTGCACCTGCGCTCCGCCCCAGACTCTACTGCGCACATGCATCGGGCGAGGCGGAGTCTGTAGCAAGTCTACTATCAGGCACATTTCTTTGGAAGGCGGTGGGCCCGGAGGCAAGCGATGGACAGCCATCGCCGAGCCTTACCCCGCCTCCGTCGCCGCTGCCGCGGGTCTCTGGACCCACCGCTCCGCGGAGCGTCGTCTGTCCGTTCGTCTTGCTACCCTCATCTCCCGCTAATGTGCAAACCTAGTCTCGCGTATACCATTTGAGTGACTGGGATGGCGGCTGCCAGGCATCCAGTATGGTTTATGGCCCTCGTGTTCTGCTGAATGCTCGATCTCGATTGCGAAGCTCCTCGAGGTCGCATGGCAACTGCCCTCGCTCTCACCAGATCTGCGCTCTGGCAAGAAAAAGATCGGGCTGTGCATTGAAACGTTTTCCAAACAGTTGTGCACGCCCTAAATGCAAGCCACCTGCAGATGGAATGGGCCCGTCCGTGATCCGTTCCATCGCCGTCTTCGCTCAAGTCCCCCTCCTCCTCTCCTCCTCCACTCTTTTCACTTGTGCGCGCCTGTTCAGTTGGCCCTCGTGTTTTGTTGAATGCTCGATCTCGATTGCGAAGCTCCTCGGGGTCGCATGGCAATTGCCCTCGCTCTCACCAGATCTGCGATCTGGCAAGAAAAAATTGGGCTGTCCACATACATATATATATGTGGCTTGTGTATTGTGGGTTGTGTGCGTGGGTTGTGTGAGCTATGTGTGGATGGGTTGTTGTTGCTGTGCGTGTTGTGCGTATATGTAAGGTGTTGTGTGTGTGTGCGTTGGGAGGTGCGGGCAAAAGACGGAGGACGCCCGCTGTTAGGCGCGAAAAGAATGCCTGGCCTGTTTGGATAAGGTAAACGACGGCGACATACCACCCAGCGGGGCACCTAGCAAATGCACCTGGGAAGGCGCACTGCGCTGGCGGACATCGTCGCCTGGGGAGTAGCGGACAAGGGCAAGCCCAAAATTGACGACACCAATTTCAACAGGGCTGGAGGAGTTTCTTAGGGACCAGGACCACAAACAGGGGTACCGACCCCCTGCGTTATGACGCTAACAGCTTGGCGGCCTTCCTGGAACGTCAGGGCATTAGACAGGCGGACGCAGCGCAGCTCGAAGGCTGCCGCGCCCCCACTTTTGGCCAGGGATCGCGACGCCACCCTGCCAGAGCAAGTGGATGGGGCCCCCGCCACCGCGCAGGAGCCTGAGCGGCAAGCAGCCAAGGATTCCGCTGAGCCCAGCCCGCCGGAATCGTTGCCAGCGGACGCCCCTGACGGCCAGCGCAGCGCCCCAGCCGGAAAATATACCGACCAGTCCCCGGCGCACGCCAGTCTCCTGGCAGATTCAGGTCCCGAGGAGGGCGGCAACAAGACCAAGGGCGCCAACCGCAGCCCGAGCCCCCCCCCCCCAGACTGGGATCCCAGCCCCACTGGACACCAAGGCGCCAGTGCCCCGTCAGCCTCCCCGCTTGGCGACCGCCCAGACAGCTCTGCCGCTGAACCCGGCAGAGGTCCGAGCGCAGGAGCTGGGAGGCGGGCAGCCTTCCGCCCCACAGTCAGACCCTCGGTTTCGGGGGTTCACAGGGGCCTGGCCCCCCTGGCGCGCGCGGGGGACTTCATCTTCATCATGCGAGCGACACGTGTACCGCCTGCTGGTTCACGCTGCCCGACAAGCAGGGATATCGCCTCCTCCCAGACGACGCCAAAAAGATTGCCCTGGGACCAGTCGAGCAGGTTCACCCAGGAAACCACCCCTGCGTCCGCATAGGCGGATCCACCAGGGAGGACCCGGGCAATACCGCCCTGGAGTCCACGCAGGCGGCCGACAGCACGGCCAGGCCCACGGTCACAGATGTGCCGCACGAGGTTGAGACACCCTGGAGACCCACCCTACCGGGACGAGGAGAGACCAGTTGGGCAGACAGCCGGTCACGCTGGGACCAACGCCGAGACCGCCAGTGGGATCGGATGGCCTGGGGCGAGAGATATGCTGCCAGGAGCACCTCCAGTTGGAGAGAATGGGCTGAGCGCCCAGACCAGCTGTATCGGACCCCCAGGACTGGCATCCAGTGGACCCCCAGCGGATCGTTCAGAAAATAGGACCGAGACGCGGGCGGAGGTGGTCAACCGCCTGAAAGGAACGCGCGGCGCGCTGTCCGTGGAAGGGTGGAACAAGGCCTGCGACCAGTGGGCCGGGAGGGGCCAGGGCAAAGGCACCTACAACCCCGAAGGCCGCGAGGAGTTCTGCGAGGCTTTCCTGGCACAGCTGGCCACCGTGGACTACGACATCCAGCGCCTCTGGAGCAACTGGCGCCTGGACGTGGACTGGGACACGGTCTGGCGGCAGCAGCAGAGCCGGCAGGGACAGACGGCCAGCAAGGGGCAGGGGGAAAGAGGCACAGTGAGCCGACCTGGCCTGCACCGGACCAATCCCGTCTGCGAGGATTGTGAAGCACAGAAGCTCGGATGGACAGACCTTCGCCCTCAGGGGCTCTCAAGGGCCCGCATCACCGCGCGCGCGGGCGTCCAACCCAGGCGCCCGACACGCATTCTCCACCAGCAATCGCACCAGTTAGGGGCTTCCGTATACCTGGTTCTGCCAGATCCGCAGGGGCTTTCCAACCCAGGAGGCCCCCGCGGCGGCGGAGAGTGCACCTTGGTGGCCCGCGTGCATTTTCCACCAGCCTGCGCACCAGTTAGGTGCGCCCGCCTACCCGGCCTTGTTGACGATTGCGGTTGGCCTTCCAAGCCAGGAGGCCACCGCTCCCCTGTTCCCCACAGGCACGCGCACCAGTTAGGGGTTTCCGTTCTACCTGGCACCGCCTTCGGCGGCGGCTGCGCTCTTCCGACCCAGGAGGGCGCCATCCGCTACCTGTCCCACCAGCGCGCGCACCAGCTAGGCACTCTCTGCCGCGTTTCCACGGCGCGCAGGCCCCCTCGCATCGCCCAGCCCAGGCGGTGCGCGGCCGCACCTGAGCGGCCCCCCCCTCCTTTTCCTCCGCTCCGCCCCGCCCCTGGCTCACCGCCCCTCGCCAAGCGAGCCAGGCGCTGGGCCGCCCCCGCCGACGCTGCCGCCGTCAGCCCGCGCGACTTACAGTGGCTGCGCCCCTGTCTGCAGCGCTTGCTGCCCCGCGTGGGGATCTCCGCCGTCGTGGCTCACCTCCTGCTTTGCCGCCCCGGCTGCCGCCGGTCGCGCCCCCCCTCCCTTTGGTCGGCTCCGCGAAACGGCTCGACCCCCACCGCCGCTCCAGGCCGCGATGCCGCGCACTGGCCTTGGGCGGGCCGCCCCCCACCCCCCACCACCGCCCCCGCCGAACAGGCGGCGCGCGCGCGCAAGGTCATACCGGCGCCTGCGGCTTCTGCGCGCGCCCGTGGATTTGCCCTGGCCGCAGCCCCGCTGCCCCGCCAGGAGGCCACCGCCATGCGGCTCGCACTTTGCCTGCGCCTCCCTCTTGGACGGCCAGCTGGGCTCGCCTTCTCACTAAAGGGCCCCGCCCCGACGCCACTTGCACTGGGCGACGCGCAACTCCTTGCCGTGATGCCGAACGCTGGCTGCGCAGTGGCGCTCCTACTTCTCTTCTGCCTCTGCTTCTCTGCTTCTTCCTACGCCCTGCGACGGCCGCCCTGCTGGCCCACTCCTGCCTCGGGGCCGCCGCGCCACCCATCGCCTTGGGCCCCCGCAGCTGCTGCAGCGCCGGCGAACCTCCTGCCGCCGCTGGCCCGGCCGCTTCCTCTCCCGCGCCGGCAACCTGGTTTCCAGCCGCTTGCCGCCCCCACTCGCCAACTTGCTGGACCTCGCCCGCACTGCGGCCGTTGGCCCCCCTCCTTGGGCGCACTGCGACGCCGACCCGCAGCTACTGCCAGGTTGGCCCTTCAGCCAGGCCGTGCCCACGAACCCGCCGCAGCCTCGCTGCGCGAATGCACCCCCGCGCCCCCCTTCTCCCTGCGGCACCCTCCTCCTTTTCTTCCGCCTCTCCAGCACGCGGGCTAATGGGCGACTCCGCGCCCCGGTTTCGCTCGGACGCGCGCGCGGATTGCTTCTGCCGCGCTGCGACGGAAAAATGTGTGTGTGTGTGTGTGCGTGTGTGTGGTGTGTGTTGTGTGTGTGGTGTACGTGTGTGGTGTGTGGTGTGTGTGTGGTGTGTGTATTGTGTGTGCTGTGTGTTGTGTGTGCGTGTGTGCGTGTGTGCGTGTGTGCGTGTGTGCGTGTGTGTGTGTGTGCGTGTGTGTGGGCGTGTGTGTGTGCGTGTGTGTGTGTGTTTGTGTGCTTGTGTGTGAGTGTGTGTGTGCGTGTGTGCGTGTGTGCGTGAGTGCGTGTGTGTGCGTGCGTGGGTGCGTGTGTGTGTGCGTGCGTGGGTGCGTGCGTGCGTGCGTGCGCGTGCGCGTGCGCGTGCGTGTGCGTGTGCGTGTGCGTGCGTGTGCGTGTGCGTGTGTGCGTGTGTGCGTGTGTGCGTGTGTGCGTGTGTGCGTGTGTGCGTGTGTGCGTGTGTGCGTGTGTGCGTGTGTGCGTGTGTGCGTGTGTGCGTGTGTGCGTGTGTGCGTTTGTGCTTGTGCTTGTGCTTGTGTTTGTGGTTGTGGTTGTGGTTGTGGTTGTGGTTGTGGTTGTGGTTGTGGTTGTGGTTGTGGTTGTGGTTGTGGTTGTGGTTGTGGTTGTGGTTGTGGTTGTGGTTGTGTTTGTGTTTGTGTTTGTGTTAATGTTTGTGTTTGTGTTTGTGTTTGTGTTTGTGTTTGTGTTTGTGGTTGTGTGTGCGTGTGTGTGCGATGTGTGTGTGTGTGTTGCTTGTGATGGGTGTGCTGTGTGAAATGTGTGTGTGTTGTGTGTGTGTGTGCCTGCGTGTGTGTGTGTTCTGTGTGTTCTGTGTGCTGTAGGTGTTGTGTGTGCAGTATGTGTGTTATGTGTGTATTATGTGTGTTGTACGTTGGGGTTCGATGTGTGGGTGATGGCTCACGCGAAACCCGCTTGTTCTAAGAATCGGGTTGCAAAGGGGCCCGTTCTTTGGAGAATGCCCCAGGCGGAATTGCAATGTTCGAAACATCGGGTTCAAAATCCTTGAATTCCATTGTGCTCTTGAAGGTGTCATGTTGAAATGGTTGGAACAGGCTGCTTGTTCGAACCGTGACGTCGCGATCTGCGTGAGGGGCGCGTCCGCTACGGCCTGGATCTCAGAACTGCCCTTCTCCAGTGTGGGGTTGGGTCAGCATCGTTGAACCGATCCCTATCCCCATCCCCATCTCGATCCCCACCATTCCACCACCCCATTTGGGGATATGCCCTTCGAAGCCCGAATGGAACAGCCTATATCCCCATCTGGGAGGGAATCGGTCAAACGATGCTGGTGGGGATAGGAATCGGTGAAACGATGCTTACTGGGGGGGGGGGCACCCGGGCGAGAGGTAATCGCGCCTCGCGAGACAGGGGCGACGCGAGGCGTGAACTTAGATGCCCCTCCCCCCTTTCCTCCCTCTAACGTCCAAGGCTATCTCTCCCGTGGCGCGGGCCCCTGGGGCTCTAGGCCCCTTCCTTCGGGACCAGCTTCTAACGCAGGGCAGGGGCAACGTTAGGGGGGAAAGGCTCAGGGGGGCCGCATCGACCCCCAATCGCCCATTCATCGCCGAGAGGGGCTTGACAGCCCATCCCGCCCAGGAACGTGCGGTGTCGCTATCGGGGGCCTATCTCTGATTTGTCGGTGATGCATCGCTTGCTACAGATCGACGTGTCCATCCCTGAGCCGGTGATCCCCCGCGGCACCCTGAAGCCCCACGCCAAAGCTCATTATTGCTTGCGGGTCGCTCTCGCGCGCAGCTCCTTTTAGAGCTGATGTCTTGGGCAGCACCTTCTGCCACGCGAGCACGTCTGTCCCGCCAGAGCGCAGGAGATCCCGCGCGTCCACCGCGCGATCGCCGCTGGCACACGCGCATCCACCGATATCCCTCCCAGTACTCCGGCCGAGGCAGCGGGGAGAGGCGAGCGAGGGGTCCGCCCGCTCCCCCTCGCAGGCAGGCCGCTGCTTCCGCGGAGACAACGGAATGGCGCCCCCGCTGCGGGAGGGCCTTGCGTTAAGTCGGGCCTGTCCCTATACAGGAGGAAAATTCAAAAATAGTCCACAAATAGTCTGGAGACGTTTAAAAAAAAAAAATTGGAGCATTTGGGCTGTATTTTCTGAGTATTCTTAATTTTTCGCCCAAAATCTGCCTGTAGGGGGACAGGCCCGACGTAAGCCTTGCGGGAGGGGGGTGGGACCTGAGTTTGCGGTGAGAGAGGGGGCGAGTGAGAAGGAGGAGGCTTTCCCAGAAGGCCGCGTGACTTCTCAGAAGCCCTCCAGCCTTCTGAGAAGCGTTTGTTGCCTCCGGGGCAGCCCACAAGACTCTTCAGGTGGCCTGGGGACCTCCGAGCCTGCTGAGAAGGCACTCTCCTTCTCACTTCCCCCCTGGGCTCGCCGCCGAAGGACGGGCAGGGCCCATATCGATCCGATTCGATATCGATTCCGGCCCGATCTGGTCTGATTTCGGTGCTCCGACGCGAGTCCATGCGGCCCGATGCTTTCACGGCGCTGCTGGGCGTCCTGGGGTGGCCGATCCGATTCGGTCTCGACTCCAGGGCCGAGAGGCGGCCCGACGCGACGCGCAGTCCGACTCGGTCCGACTTCCCGAGTCGGTGTTGGTTGTCCTGGCTTGGGGGGAGGAGGAGGAGGAGGAGGAGGAGGAGGAGGAGGAGGAGGAGGAGGAGGAGGAGGAGAGGAGGAGGAGCAGGAGCAGGAGCAGGAGCAGGAGCAGGAGCAGAGCAGGAGCAGGAGCAGGAGCAGCAGGAGCAGGAGCAGGAGCAGGAGCAGGAGGAGGAGGAGGAGGAGGAGGAGGAGGGAGGAGGAGGAGGAGAGGAGGAGGAGGAGAGGAGGAGGAGAGAGGAGAAGGAGAAGGAGAAGAGAGGAGGAGGAGGAGGAGGAGGAGGAGGAGGAGGAGGAGGAGCAGGAGCAGGAGGAGCAGGAGGAGTAGGATGAGGACGACGACGATAGACGGGGGGAAGGGAGGAGGGGAGAGGAATGAGGGGGAGAGTGGCGGGCGAGCAACGGGAACAGGAGGAAGGAGGGGGGAGCGTGGAGGCGAGGAGGAGGTGGAGGACGAGGAGGAGGAAGACGAGGAGGAGGAGCAGGAGAGGGAGCAGGAGGAGAGAACAAGAAGGGAGGGAGCGGGAAGTGGGGGATAGCAAGGATGTAGCCGCAGAGCGTGCACGTCAGACAAGAGAAACAGCTTGCCAGCGGGCTCCCCAGCGAGGGAAAGTTGATGCTGGGATTGGAACGCGCTCCCACCTCGCAAACGGAAAGAGATTGCCCGCGGTCCCGCTTTTGACGACTTGGCGAAGAATAGCCACGCGGGCCGCGCAGGGGCGGGAGCGGCGAATCTCCCGATGGGCGCGGCGAAGAAGAAAAGGCATGTACCGCACTGACACAGCATTGCCAGCTTCACTCACAAGCTGCGCGGCGCTTGGGCGAGGTCGGCATTTCGCCCGCTCCCGCGCGGCCCCGCTGCCGCCGTCGTTGCCGCGCGCTTCGGCGGACGAGCCATGTGCCGGCCGCGCCCGCGCTGGAGCGCGACTGCCGAGCCAGGTGCGCCCGCAGCTCGGGCCAGGGCGACACGTCGCCCATTCGCGCGGGCCCCCCCACGGCTGGCGAGCGACAGCTGCGCGCCGCGTCCAGGCGGGAGCGCCGCTTGCGGGCGAAATCTGCGCGGCGCCGAGGCGAAAGCGACGTGCTCGCCCGCTCACGCGTCGACGAATGCGCGCGCGCGAAAAAAAAACGTGCGCCGCGCCCCAGCGGGAGGTCGGTTCTCTGGAAGAAAGGAGCGCGACGCTGAGGCGAGAACGACAGTTCGGCCTTTCGCGCGCGATGTGCGCCCCAGATCCACTCCTGCCACACGTGTTGCACCACGGGCGACATATAATGTCCCTGCTGAGACGTACAACATGGATGGTGTTTTGCTTGGCTGACAGGTGGGATGGGCGCACCCGCATTCGGCGGCTATCGGCCGGCGACGTGGCAAAATGGGAGCACATACCAGTAAAGAAGATGGATGGGAGGAGGGGGGAACGGGCGGAGGAAAAGGGAGGAGGAAAAGGAGGAAGGGAGGAGGAAAAGGAAACGAAGTGGGAAGGAAGGAAAAGGAGGGAACGAAGGAGAGAACGACGGAGGAAAAGGAAACGAGGGAGCAAGGAAGAAGGGCGGAGGAAGGGAGGAGGAAAAGGAGGAAGGAAGGGATGATGGATGGGAGGAGGGCGGAGGAAAAGGAGACGAAGAGAGAGGCAGGGAGGGTGGCCGGCGAAGAGGGAGAGGCGAGGAGGAGCTCGACGGCCGAGGTACGGGTCCCCGATTTCTCGGGCCAGGAGAAGGGCCGGGTCCTTATCCATCCTTGATCCTCCGATTGAGGCCGGATCTTGCCATTGATCCGGTCGGACGAGGACAACGGACAGTCGGAGGTTGATAGACCTCTTACCTTGACGCGTCGATTAGCGAATTGGCCGTTTTCGGTTCGCGAGAGCGCGTCGCGGCCGTCATCTTCGCGGGTCCAGGTCCGTCGGTTTCGGTCCCAGGCCGTTTTCACTAGAGGGTGGTTTGCTGAAGGGAGGTATGCCCACCGCCGAGACAGGGACCGCTCCCCCTCCCCACGATCACCACCACAACCACCGTGCTCGCTTGGGTCTAGCCAGCAGCGTTGCGGGCGATGTGGCTGCGCTCTTTCTCCCTGGCCTCCCGCGCCCTTCCCCCGAGCCGCGCGGGCGTCCGACCGGTGCTCACGAACTCGCCCGCCTCCTCCCCAGCACCTGGAGGTGCTCTAGGCCTCCTAGATGGGGTCGGAGTAGATGGGGTCGGATGATCGCGCCGCATCGCCGATGCATCGCCGATGCGGCTCGATGTGCAGCCCGATTTGCTTCAAGTCGACGTCGCCGATGCATCGCCAACGTCGACGATGCATCGCCGGTGCATCGCCGATGCATCGCCGATGCATCGACGATGTATCGCCGATGTATCGGCGATTCGGCGCGATCCTCCGACCCCATCTACTCCGACCCCATCTAGGAGGCCTCTAGGTGCGCGGCCACCCCACTTGCTGCCAAGGGGCGGGCTTCGTCTCATCGTGAGTCGTTCGGGAGCCTCGGGACGGGGGTCAATGCAAACGTGGGTCAGCCAGAGCGCCGCGTCTTGCAGGATCCTGCAGAGCCTGGGGTGCATTGACCCAGGCTGGCTCGCAGGATCCTGGAGGATCTTGCAGGACCTTGCAAAGCCCGACTAACCTGGCTTGCACTGACCCGGGTCAGTAGATTTCCGAGTCGTTTTTTCGACGGCCCCGAGGTTGGGAAACATCATTGGAGGTCGAAAAAGTTTGGACGCGATTTTCTGCCACGCATGGATTTGAAGGCTAGCCCTCATGAAGGAGAGGAGGAGGAGGAGGAGGAGGAGGAGGAGGAGGAGGAGGAGGAGGAGGAGGAGGAAGGACGATGACGACGAAGAGTATGACGACAATGAGGACGACGACGGCCACGACCACGACAACGACCACGACCAGGACGACGACGACGACGACGACGACGACGACGACGACGACGACGACGACGACGACGACGACGACGACGACGACGACGACAACGACGACGACGACGACGACGACGACGACGACCATGATGACGGGGGCTTTCCCGCTTCCACCGCTGCTGCAACGAAATAGATCTCGATTCCAGTGGGCAGTTTCCGAGACGGTCCCAGTCCGAGGCGCAGGAAGGGTTCCGATGTTTGTCCGATCCTGCGCGTGGAACGGTCCGTCAGGATCCGATTTGCTCGCCGATCCAGTCTCAAGGCTTCGATCTGCTCGCCGATCCGACCCGATATGCTCGCCGAGAGCGGGGGTGCTGAGGGAAACGGGGTCTCCCCCGTGGCATCGCTCGGACGTGTGCATTTTTGTTCTTCTTTTCCGGGGACGACCATCGAAGAGTATCTTTCGGGGTCCTGCAGAAAAAGGCGCGCAGGCAGCCGACCAAAATGCACGGGGGACTGGCGGTCCGAGCAACGGCGAGCCCCGGGGCCAGCCACTACCCTCCCGAAGCCGTGCTTCGACGGCCAGAGGGGCCGGTAGAGGGCCCCAGGGCCCCGCAGATTCAGCAAAGAATCCAAGGTTCAGTCGGGCCTGTCCCTCTACAGGGGGAAGATCCAACAATAGTCAAATCATAGTAACGGGGACCATTTTGGGGCATCTTTGGTGTATGTCTTTTTTTCGTCCAGAATCCACCTCTAGGGGGACGCGCTCGACCTAAATGCAAGGGCGCCGGTCCTTCAGAACCCGCCTCTCGGCCACGCGCAGAGGGGGGACACGGTCAAGACGCCGAAACATAGCAGGGCCGTTGTGGGCTCAGCAGGGGCTCGGGTTTTCGGGCCGTTCCTTGGAGTTGTGTCGTGGAGCCTGTTGGCGCCCTTGACCCGCCGTGGCCAGAAAAGCCCCCTCGTTTCTGATTACGCGTTCCTCATGGTCGCACGATGACTCTAGGGCGAGGGGGGAAGGCTTCTTAGAAGTAACCCTGCTTCTTCGAAAGCGCGGGCCTTGTCTGTGTAAGGCTGGCGCCTTCAAAGAAGCAGCCTCCTTCAAAGAAGCCTTCCCTCCTCCGCCTACCAGTTTGTGAGCGCCGCCAATGCTCCTGCACGCTACGGCCAGGAATTCTGGCTTAGCGTGTCGCGCGGCCGCTTCTGGTCCACTACGCTTCGGCGCGACACGGTATCCACGTTTCTGTCCCCAAGCGTCAACTTCCCGAGCTTTTCCTGGCCTCCCTCCCCGCGGAGCGGCACGCCATCCGGTTGCAAGGCATATAGCGTGCCGCCGGGGCCGCCGCCGCGACACGCTAAGCAAACGCACCTCACCGAAGTCTGCTCGTCGCCGACTCGGGCCAGTAGGTGGTGCTCCAGCTTGGGTCGGACGGGCACCTCCGAGGCCAGGTGTGGTTCAACGGAGGCACGCTGCCCGCCGCGCTGGAGCCGTGCCAGTAGGGCACCGCCAGCCTCTGGGTCCCAGGCCTCTGGCGACTTGAAACGAAATCGACGGCTGCCAGACCCCCTCCCTGAGATCCGGGCGTTGCATTTTTTCTACACCAGGCGTTTTCTCCGAGTTTCGGGCCTCGAGATCGACGAATGCCGCAGATAGATGGGGTCTGGGTTTCCTGTCGTGCTTCTTGAGAATGTTGCAATCATGTCGCGACGTTGGATCTCCGGATTGGTTTTCTGATGTGTTCGTCGGCTTATGAAGGTTTTCCAGCTTCGGGGCGCTGTCCTGCAGCTGCGCCTCGCCGAGGTTGTTCGGTGTTAGGAGGATGCCCGGATCGTCCCGAATGGACGCTGGAGACCCGAGCTGTGGCCCGAAAGCCAGACCTCCTCGCGTCGTGAGCAAAATCACGACGGAAGATGTGGAGCAATTTTCCGCCTCTGGGGGCCCTGATTTGGTCGGGGGGAACGGGTCGGGGCCTTTGGGGGCCCGCGTCGCGAAAACACACACACACACACACACACAAAAAAAATATGTTAACCAGCGTGGTCCCCAAACAGTGCGTCATTGCACTGTGGAGGTGAAAGCTATGCGGTGTAAACTATGTGGTGGAAGCTTTGTCGTTTAAGCTACTGTGTAAGCTATGTGGTGAAGGCTATAGGCTATGTCGTGCAATCTACTCAGTAATATATATATATAATATATATATATATATATATATATATATATGTGTGTATATGTATGTATGTATATATATATATATATATATATATATATATATATATATCGTGCAAATCATATGGTGTAAGCTGTGTGGAAGCTCAGAACACGGGGCGCCCACGATGCGCCCACGAGGCGGCACGGAAGGCAACGAGGCGGCAGCGTGGCGCCACCTCGGGAGGCTCGCCCCGCGCACGGGGCGCCCACGAGACGGCACGGGGCGGCAGGGCGGCGCAGCTTTGGTGTCCCCCCCCCCCCAACCGCAGCGCGCGGGGCGCCCGCGGGCCCACCAGGCGGCTCGGGCGCTCCGCGTGGCGAAGACCCCGGGGCACCGTCCGCTCCTTCTCGAGGGAGGAAGAGCCACCCGGACTGGACAATCGGCCTGCGACGAAACGGCCTTGGGCGTTTACTGAACGGCCCTGCCCTGCTCGAATCCCTCTGTGGGTGCGTTCACTCAACGGTTTCGCTTGTCGGGGTGGTTACTATGGGGGTGGATTTGTTGCCCTCTACACACGAGGCGCCCTCCAGGCGGCTCGGACGCTCCGCGTGGCGAAACCCCAGAAGCCCCGTCCGGCTATTCGCGTCACCCGGAGCAGCGGGCCCCCGAGTACGAGCACTGCCTGGGGAACGTGGGGAGGTCGGGGGGTCGGAGGGGCTGGCGCGAGGGGAGCGGGCTCCTCAGAGGGGCTCGGCACCTCCTGGGAAGGCCCCTCGGAAGGTGGGAGGGCTTCTCAGAGGCCCCCCACAGCTGCAGTAAAAGCACAGCAAAATAGAAAAACGGGCCTGCCAGCAGGTGCCCCCACAGAAGTGTCCACTCCCCCAGGTGGGCCCCAGGGACCCACAGCAGCTCTGAGGCACCTGAGGCCCTTCAAAAAATCTGCGAAGAATGTGCACCAAGAGCCCTTTTCGCAAGATGTCTTACCGTATGATCCGAAAGTATCAAGAAGGAGGCCCCCCTTCCACGCTCCCGCGCCAACCCCCTGGATCGCGCCGCCACGAGAAGCGTCGGACGTATTTCGCTGTCCTCGGCGTCTGGGGAGGCCGCATCTGGGGCCCAGGGCGGTCAAAACGCAGCTCAGGATGAAGAGCCAGCCCTGGGGAAGAGGGTCGAGAATTATGGGGCGGAGGCTCAAAATTACGTAGTCGCTGGAGGTCTGGGGATGTCTTTGTCGTTCCGAATTTAGGCCACGGGGTTGAGCGCCAAGCACATGCGTGGTTGTGCGAGCGCGGTGGAGAGTTCTCGGCATCCCCCATGCTTGCATCCGAGTGATCGTCATCCTTGAGGGCTAGCTTCATGAAGTTGACACAGTCGCAAGAAGTACACGATGAGCGAGGCAAGGCATGCGATACAGACATGGCATGAAAGAATCTTCAGCGCGGCCCTGGCCATGGAGGGTGTGGGCCGGGACCCTGAATGGTGGAGTGCGCCCCGTTGGGCAGGTATCTCTACCGCGGCCTGAGACCTGGGGGGGGGCCAGGCTGGGACGCTGAAT